CATCATCATCTCAGTTATCTTCATCTCAGCTATCATCATCATCATCATCATCTCAGTTATCTTCATCTCAGCTATCATCATCATCATCATCATCTCAGTTATCTTCATCTCAGCTATCATCATCATCATCATCTCAGTTATCTTCATCTCAGCTATCATCATCATCATCATCATCATTTCAGTTATCATCATTTTATCTATCACCACCTCAGACATCCTCATCATCATCATCATCTCATCATTGTCGTTTTAATTACTATTGTCATCTTAATTGTCATAATCATCTTAATTATAATCATTCTCTTAAATATCATCATCATCATAAACATCGTCATCATCATAATCATCCTCATCATAAACATTTCAGCCACGTCTTCTCAACTGCCCTCATGTTGTAACTCAATGGTGAATGGCATCACAACGAATATAGTTAGTGCAAATATTTTGATTTACTTTTGATTCCCTTCAATATCTTCTAACTGATGGATGATGAGAGGGCTTCGAGACAACATTGAATCAAGCTCAAATACTTCAATAAAAAACGCGAAAACAGGTAACAACGAAAGCTGTCTAAATGTTGTAAACTTTCCTTGTTATAACCTTAGCACCAAATTATCATCACCACCATCATCATCATCATCACTACAACCATCGTCATCATTTTCATCACTACAAACATCATTATCATTACAACCATCATCACTACAAACATCATCATAAACAACAGCACTAACCAGGCACCCAATCAATGCATAGGAGGTAATCATTTGAAACTTGAAACTGATTAATGGGTTTTTCCGGACTGGAAGGTTGGACGATGGTGACCTTGCCCTTGAGGTCGGATCCACTGGAACATATCCACACTTCGTTGGAGGAGGAGGATGGGGTGCAAGTCGCAGCACACCAAATCTGTTTGCATTAAAATGCTGCAAAGTTAAAAGTTTCAACTAAATGCATGATTGAAAATAAAAAGCATGTCACAACAATTTGAAACTGAATAGCTCAACAAACAATTAAATATAAAAATTATCAACAATTATGATGAAGAGAGAGAGAAGCCACGTTGCTTGCTTAGTGCACGTGAATACGCGCGAAACCACGCACCACACACATTGCTGTTTAAGATTTTACGCGAATTTAAAAAACTCCGACTAAATATCGACCAGTCAATCTCTTTCTCCCTCCATTTAACCGATCCCTTCCCATCAAACACAACACGACATAACCACGATATGAATTATAGCTGGACCTTGTTAGAAGGTGTGGCAGCGTGCAGTGGCTGGCAGTAGACGGGCACAGGGACCGGCAAGAGATTTCTCCCACCTCGACTCACTTCTCGAGACGCTGACGATGATCTCGACTTGCGAACGTCATTACTATCTGCAGCAGCGTTGATGTTTTCATCCATTGTTGAAGAACCTGACGTCTTGGAGAGCTGTTTGTTGTGGAGAGGCAGAGATGGAGATGATGATGAAGACGGCAGGCTCCAACCATACGCCTGAATTCTACCATCGTCATTTTTTATCGGGTTCAATTGTTGTTTGTCGCTGTTGCGGGAAGAAGGCTGGCTGTCTTCGTTTCTTCGACGTCTCTCGGCCAACCTGATGACGTTTTAAAACAAATCTGACAAAAGAATTAAGCAAGTGGACGTTTCATCATTTCGTAGTCACCTCAAGCTGAGGCGTGATTAATTAATGATTCAGGATCTCAAACGAATAGGTTCAGGAGAAATTCAGAGAGAAACGTAAACCGTGCAAACAGCAGTAACCACTGCAACAAATTATTAACACGTCAAATAAAATAACATTAATATAATTTGTTAGTGAAAATAGAATAATGTGTTTAGCTCGATGGGTACCTGAGGTTTTCTCGCCTAGGACTGGTGGGAGCGTTGTAGCGAACGGAAGCAAGGGAGGAAACTCTTCTGGGGGGTTCGTTTCGTCTCGTGAACAACCTTTCGAAACTGTCGTGACGTTCGTGCAAGGTGGAGCGTGGTTCGTGGGGTTGTTAATTCAAAATAAAAATACATTAAAAATCTCAACTAAACAACGTTTACGAAAGTTACGATCAAATGTTTAAAGTCAACAAAAAATTACATGAGAAAAATTAAATACAAAAAACAAAAAACTTTCAAATTTAATCAGAAAAACTTCTCGATTGTATAAACAAACAAAACTAAATTTGTAAAAAAAAACTCAAAGTTAGCTCCAGATCAATGTAATAAAAAGATTTCCCACTAGTTCCAGATGGAAGAGGATCGCTTCTTTGAATGGTGTCCCCCGGGAAGAAGATCTGGGTGCTCTCTTGAAGCTCTGATCATTTCAGTCCACCTGACTGCTTCCTGCAACTCCATCAACCTCTCCTTGTACTGGTTTCGTTCCATCAAAACTCGAGCCATTTCCACACGAGTGAATCTCTTCCTTTGAGCCATCGACAGTTCATCTTGTCGCTGGGCAAGCAAACAATCAGTGCCATGAAAATGAAAATTTAAATTTTTACTTGTTCTTGTAATTCATAAACTTCAAATGTCTCAAACGCATCTTCATTCAAACTGCAATAAGTAATGAACTGAATCTATAAAAGAACAGCTCATAAGGGATGGTGTTTGAATTTGAAGCCCGTCATCAACAGATAGTTTCAAGCAGAGTTAGACGTGACATATGCACTGTTAATAATGCATTCCTTACTAAATGGAAATATGTAATAAGTTGTTCGAAAATGAGATTTCAGACAGTGCAAACATTTTAAAAGATGGCATGATTTAACGTTTCAAATATAACGTTTGACACTGTAAGATCTTGAATGTACACAAACCAACTCAATTTTTTTTATAAAAATCAGAACAGAACACACCACAAACTCACCCCATCTTCTGGAGAACTCTTCCTCCTTTCCGCCTCTAGCGCTTCTCTGTAGTTCTTCAACTCCATCTCCAACTCAAGCACCTGTTCTCGCAACTTCTCCCTCAAATTTTGCGTGGCTTTCAACTCTTCTTTAAGCAACTCGTGTTCACTGTTTGCAAAAAAAAAGACTTTGTTAAATAAAAAAATCGTGTTTGTTCAAATCTTGGGAATAGACTACATGTCTTTATTGCTTGTTTTGTTTATTTCTATTGCCGGTTTAGTTTTTCATTTCAAACGCCTTCGTGACTGCAGAAAACTCAAATGGATGTTTGTACTATTGTTAATATCATCTTATAGCGTATAAAGCAATAAAAAGCAATAAAAAAGAAATGAGCGAAATAACAAACGCCTGCCCAAGTGGCCTCAACATTTCATCAGCTAACCAGCACAAATAAGAGGGTATTACTGGGCAGTTCACAAAAGTAACAGGTGTAGAAAGTCGAAAAAGTTTAAGAAAAAAGAAAAAAAAGGTGTAGAAGTTGAGACAGGAGGAACATAAGTGGAATAATAATTACAAGTAAACCAGGTCTGATTTAGCTGGAAGATAAGAGGAAAGATTTACGCGTAGTTAAGTTCTTCCTGGAAAATATTGCCAACCGTCACCATCATACCTTTTCTTTGCAACACTATCATTCACTTCATCATCATCATCGTCGTCGTTTCTACAATCATCATTATCGACATCTCCATCACAATCGCCTCAGAGTATCATCATCATCAACACCTTCATCCCAATCACCTCACCTCAGAGTGTCATCAAGCCTAGCAATGAGGTCATCTTTCACTACATTTAATGCATTCCTGGAAAAGATAAAAATAAAAACAATAATAATAATAATAATAATGAATAATAACAAAAACAATAATAATTGATAATAAAACAACAACAACGACGACGCTAATAACAATTAATATTATGATCTACTTTGTGGCCAGCAGTTCGGTATTTTCAAGTATCAAGTTCTCTATCTCCTTGCTCATCCCTGCAACAGGCATACACATAAACACATATACACATACGTGCACATATACACATACGTGCACACTGCACATATACACACATATGCACATACACACACACACAGATACACATACATATATATATACACATATATTCATTTCCATACACCATATATACATACGTACATATACATATATACATACACATTTACACACACATAAGCGTGTGCATATAAATGAGCAAAAAAAATAAGTGAAATAATTAATTGAACCAAATAAACATTGATATGATGGTGACCAAAGTGTTTGCTTCAACGATGTTGTTATATTAATGAGGAAATGTAATAATGAGCGACCGTATGTGGCAGCAGTGGAACAACTAAAATTGGAACACGAAAAAGTTCAGTTGAAAAGCATAAAAATTTTGATGAGAAAAATTAAAAAAAGAGTTGAAGCGAGGCCTGGAAACAAATTTTGCCACAAAATAGATTGCGTGGATTAGCGAAAGAATCCTTTAGAAGAAGTTAAAGTTAAGAGTGTGAGCAGAAAGTCATTTTTAGAAAGTCCAGCGACATTCAAACAATCCTGATGAACCACTGCAGAAAGTTGACTCGGTTGATCGAAATGCAGCAAGTGCGACAAACAAATGGCAGAAAACCCGGGTGAGAGGGTGTGTAGGTATTCATTCGCACCGCTTGTTCGATTTGGCAAAACGACCAGGCGATGTTGGTTGCACGATGCAAACGCGGAAACTTTTGCCACGGTACCATCTTCGACCAATGCAACCTCTGCCACTCACACCTCCATACTACTCAACACCTTTTCAACTGAACTACCAATCCCACCCCCCTCACCACCACCGATCTTTGGGTGGATACGGTGGCCGAGACACGATTTCTAAATATTAATATTAAATAACTAGGCAACCCCTCAGGCGAGCTGCAACAACAACAACAAATGGCAACAACAGATTGCTCAGTAATTTAAATCAGACATATTTTTGTGAAACATATGAAGTTGATCTTACAAGTGCATGCCATGTAACATCTGCAATGAGGATTTTGAGTAAACAAAATACTTTGATCAACAACATGCAAATATGTGTTTGTGTGTGTGTGTGTGTGTGCGTGCGTGCGTGTTAGAATCTTAAAAATGGAACATCACTGAAATACGTAAATACGTAACTTAGTGAAAAAGTTGGACAGCGCAGTGGTCAGTCAATGATAAATTCACTCCAGCTTTGAGATGCAAGGAAGAAGTAGCAGCATAATAAAATCAGACAACATGGAACAATAATAGCAGCCCAACCACCATGATGATGATGATGATGATGATAATGATGATGATGACTGATGATAATGATGATTGAGAAATAATGGAATGTCAACAATTTGAAAAATTAAAAAAATTTTAATCTATTAAAAGAGATGAATTGAAAAAATAAAAGCACTCAGCCACTCATTTGAAAGCAGGAAACAAACAAAGAATTTCGATTGTTAACAAAACCATTGATAAGCAATGCAACACAAATGCGATGTTAGAAAAGTATGCCTCACACTAAATGAACGAAATATGTAGAGAAAATGAATGATATGAAAATAAACTAACGAAGATATAAAAATAAATAAATGAATAAACAAAAACATATTAAATTAACTCAGCTGCCAAACAACATAATGAAACATTAGCAAGCAAGGCCACAACACCACAGCAAGCATTTCCTCTTACCAAAATAATTATCTCCAGCTACGAATGAAGCACCATAGATAACATAAATGGAAAAAAAATTTAAATTTGATGAATAATCTTTCTTGCAGTGACACCTTTGTAATTGTGCCGCTAAGTTGTGGCAGTGACTTGAAAGTGTAACGCATGGTGTTAAGTTAAGTAATGAGACGAATAAATTCACTGTTGTCACTTTTTCATCATTATTAACTCTATGCCATCACTTTCAACAAGATCCTTCAAATAACATTCTCAAAAAAAAATTTCAAAATGGTACAAAACCATCATCGTCTTAAAAATATACTTCATCTGAAACCATCATCAGAACAACCATCCCCTCAATCTTAATTACACTACCACTAAATCATTTAACCATTCACCTGTTGAAGAGAAGTCACCAGGGTTCACCATTTCTCCGAGGTCATCATCATCATCGTCATCGTCGTCGTCGTCGTCACACTCATTATCGTCGACCGTTGATATCTTCGTAGCCGGCTTGCTGCATGTATGTAGGTAGGTGGGTGGTAGGTAGGTAGGTAGGTAGGTAGGTAGGTAGGTAGGTAGGTAGGTAGATAGGTAGGTAGGTGGGTAGGTAGGTAGGTAGGTAGGTGGGTAGGTAGGTAGGTAGGTAGGTGGGTAGGTAGGTAGGTAGGTAGGTAGGTAGGTGGGTAGCTAGGTAGGTAGGTAGGTAGGTAGGTGGGTAGCTAGGTAGGTAGGTGGGTAGGTAGGTAGGTAGGTAGGTAGGTAGGTAGGTAGGTAGGTAGGTAGGTAGGTAGGTAGGTAGATAGGTATGTAGGTAGGTAGGTAGGTAGGTAGGTGGGTGGGGTGGTTACGTTTCGTTGCAGCATAGAAACATAAGTCCAGAAAGCAACAACCAGAAATATTTAAACAGTTAACCACAGCAGCCAGCAAGAATAATAACAATAATAAATGTGATACTACTAGTACTACTGCTACAACCACTACCACTACCACCACCACTACTACTACTACTACTACTACTACTACTACTACTACTATTACTACTACTAATACTACTACTACTATTACTACTACTACTACTAATACTACTACTAATACTACTAATACTAATACTACTAATACCACTACTACTACTAATACCACTACTACTACTAATACCACTACTACTACTAATACTACTACTACTACTAATACTACTACTACTACTAATACTACTACTAATACTAATACTACTACTACTACTAATACTACTACTACTACTAATACTACTACTTCTACTACTGATAACAATAATAAAATAATAATAATAATAAAGAGTGTTGATCCAATGACAAAGCCGGTATAAGTTGGTAAATGGTTAAAATAATAACAGTGGTTTGATGAGCTTCTTCTTTTTCCCTGGGTCCAAGGGTGACTGAACATCTGTTCAAATCAAAAAATATCATCATCACCATCATTCAGGTGGTCATCATCATCATCGTCCTTATCATCATCATCATCATCATCCTTATCGTCATCATCATCCTTATCATCATCATCATCCTTATCGTCACCCTCATCATCATCACTGTTGACGTCATCTCCATCCGTTTCATCCTCATCATCGTCCTCATCATCATTTTCATCACGAAGACCGTCCTCATCACGGAACAACTACTGACTGGTGCCAGTGTGGCTGACGTGAACTCGTTCAGTGTTGACGTCTCTCTCCATCGAATCAACTGTTCGAATGTTGTGGAAGTCATCCACGCTGCTCTTTGACATCTTGCAAAGGACAATAATGATGATGACGATGATGATAACGATGTTGATGATAATGACGATGATAATAACGATGATGATGATGATATCGATGAATGTAATGATGATGTTGGTAATTATGACAATGATATTGCTGATGTTGATCATGAGGTCGTCCCCGAAATGGATGACAATGATGATAACGATGATCAAAATGATGATAACGATAGCAAAACTGATATTATTGCTAATAATGATGATGTTGGTGATAGCAAGAAGAGCATGGTGAATGAATGAATGAATGAATGAATGAACAAATAAATGAATGAACCTGATTATGAGCGAGTGGATCGAACTCGCCGGCCCTCCTCATCCTCATCAGCACCGCATCATCCCGGCTCGAGAAATCCATCACAGACCTCAGCATGGGCAGCTGAAAGTTCCTGCAACATCAATGTCATCCATCCATTCATTCATCCATTCATTCATTCATTCCTTTATTCATTCATTCATTCACTTCATATATTATAATTCATACATCCAATTGACACATCATATTATAATTAAATTCTTACAGGCCAGCTAATACAAAAGTTATAAAATGACCACCATCATATGCAATACGATGCAATTCATTTTAGCACGTGCACCAACTGACCATACACTGATGAACTTCGAAATAAAGACATTTGAATAGTTAATAAATGAAGTTAAGATGTAAGCAGACATGTGAACAGTTGAAAAGAGAGTAACAAACTTTGGCACATTGTCAAACATGCTCTCCGTCATGGATATCTTCGTCTTTTCAACACATTCCAAATGCTTCTTCAACAGCTACAAAAAAATAAAATGTGAGGTCAATTTTCGTTAAAGATTGTCTAACCAGAAAGTCATGAAGGCACGCATGAAATGTTGAATTGAGTTGGATTAATGGGAAACATTCTCACGAACCTCATTAAACCTATCATGCAGTTTGCTGTACTCTCTCTTCAGCTCATTCTCCTTCTCTTCCAATCTCAAGACTTCATTGATCAATTGAAATTAAATACTCATAGTTTAATTATATTAAATATTCATTGTTTAATTAAATATTAATAAATTTATTTAAATATTAATCATATAATTTAATTAAATATTAATTGTTTAATTGTACTAAAGATTATTTGTTTAATTATGTTGAACATTAGCTGTTTAATTAAATTGAATAATAATAGTTTAACTAAATTAAATAATTGCTTAATTAAATTAAATAATAATTAAAAAATAATACATTCTTTTTAATTAAATGTATACAGTTTGCTGTTTGATACAAATATAAAGAAATAAATGACATCAACACATCACATCTTACTGTGGTCATGTGAATTTTTTGATTTTAATTCATGTGCCTTCAAGTTTAACTGCAACTGCTCCATTCTGTCATTCATTTCCTTCCTTTCTTCCTCTAATGAGTCTTCAATTGCTAAAAGTTTCTTTGAAAACAAATCACATCAATCATTACTTGCATCAATGTCATCACTATCCTCATTGATATCATCACTATTAGCACCAACACCATCATTAATATCTTAAATAATACTATCAATAAACATTGTTTTTAATATAATAGTCAGACCTATAGTTATCAATATCAGTAGCTTAAAACCAAAAGAGAAAATATAATTTCAATTATCTTCCTTTGATGTTCAAATTGAAAAATAAGAAAAAAATGTAAAAAAAAAGAACATCAAGCAACAAATTTAAAGAATTATTTAAGCAACGAAAACTTTAAAAATTTAACAGAATCATCGGCATTAGAAAGAATTATAATGAAAAAACTACAGACTATCCTAGAAAACAGAAAATTAAATGAAAGTATAACAAATGAAATGTGATATAAAATCATTTATTTATAGACTATCACTATATCATATATAATAGAGATACTGACTTGGTCAGCTGACTTTCTCAACTGTTTTTCTCTTTCATATTGGGACATCAACTGTTCATTATCATCTTTACAGAGCTCCAATTCTGCTTCCTTTTCTTGGTTTTCTTTAAAAGCTGAATCCAAACTTTCAAGAATAGTGACAATATGTGGCATCATGTCTTTTACTACATCTTCGCCATACGTCGGTATCATGCGCTCAAACTCGCGGTAGATGTTGGTGGCCACAGCCTGAACACGATCAGACATCACGTGTGCATCATCATCCGAACTCATAGAATCATTATTCCCGTACACAGTTTCGTTATACAACATTATAAGAAGTTTTAATTAGTTAAAGTTAAAACAGTAGGCAAACGATTCATTTGTTTTTAAAAATTTAAATTAAAAACTAGAATAAAATCTTAAATTAAAATAAAAGCTTAAATTAAAAATCCTCACATCAATATGATTTGATTTGGCTATTTGTTTTTGAGCAAATTAATATTAATTACTGTGTAGTGTGGTTAGTCATTAGTATGATGATGGCAAATCCAAATGGCAATCTGTAAAAAAAATTTATTTTGGTCTATCTATCTAACTAAAATTCAGTGACAATTTTTATTTATAAACTTTCATTTCAAAATACTTAACTAAAATATATTTGTCAACAAATCACAGTTTAAATAAAAATACAAGGTCATCATATTATATTCATATCACAAAACATTTTAAATCATATTTTTAAAATTAGACATCAATGAACGAAACCGAATAAATAAATATCGAATTAACATTTTATTGTCGGTTCAACTGTTGAACAAACTCATATGCTTATAATATACAGGGATATATATAAAAAAAAATTCATGATAATATACACTAAAACTAGAATTATTTAACTATTAGGCGCAAAATAAATCAAATTAAATGATTTGGCACGTTATACATATATGTATAGAATATTTGTTACACAGTAGGTTATATACATCAATTTAATGAAGTATTTGAAATAAAGCACTTGAACTGAACGTTACCCCTGGGACTGGAAACGTTTTCTATTTCTTAGCTCCAGAACCGGAACAGCTGGGAAATCCTGATGTGTGTGTGTGTATGTTTGCTGCTTTTGCTTTAAGTAAAGTTTATGCTAAAAAGAATACGATAGGGCCATATAAAAAATTTAAATAGGTATGATAATATATATATGTAGATAGGCCGATGCCGGTGTAAAATATCATGACCATCACCAACAGTGGCGGATCTAGACAACGTTGTTGGGGGTGGCTAAGAAACTAACTAAATTTTGGCCGGAGTGTCTAAAATTTTGGCTGACGACTTCTACACTCAGCGTTCCACGTCATAAAAACCATATGAGCAGGAAAGTGCTGCAAACTTTCATATGCACTAAAAACATTTTGCGTGAATTTCAAAGGTATCAAATCAAATAATTCGACAAATCGACATCACAGAATCACACATCATCCTACATATCACTTCGCTACTAAACAACAACTTCAACAGCTACAATATCTCATCAAAAAATATATTCGCCTCAACTTCTTACTTTTATCATATCAAACCGTCACTCAAATATTCAACACACTCGATTCCAGTTTATTCAAGAAAATAGTAATTATAAACACTATCCATCCGCTCTCCAAATTCGAATCAGTATTTTAAGCCTATCAAGTAACATTCGACTTAGTTTTGTAAAAAGACTTGTAGAGGCGTTGTTTGGCACGTTGAGACGATGGTCTAATTGTATGATCGATGTCGCTATCTTTTGACAAAAATGAATCCTTTAGATTCAAACCAAATGCGTTATCATCAACGTTTGTGAAACATGCTAAATAATCCACTTTTGGCTGTTGAAATATGGGTAATGCAAACAAGTTTTGACACATTTGTGCCACTGGAGGTGAAATTTTTGGCATAATGTTTGGGAACGATTTTATATTTACTAATTTTCTATTTCGTTAGTTCAAATCCATTTTTTTTAGAAAATTCATTGAATTCACTTTAACCTTTGCACTGCGATGAGATTGGATGATATTAGACATTAATTTTCTTCATGATTAGTGATGCAAAAATCATTGGACAAATGACATACACACACCACACACACACCACACACACATCGTATATATATATGAAATTATTGATGAAAATGAAGCATGTTCCGCGTTGGTTGACTTCATGTTTAATTTTTCTGTTTACCCAACGGTAGATCGTAAATCATTGTCAAGTTTTTTTGATTTCAAAGAACGAAAAATCAGCAGCAAACAACAACAATGCAACTAACAATAACAACAAAAATAACATATTTAACTACTATCTAATATATATACTAGCCCCACATGTTAATAATGCTAATAATAATAACCTGTCAAATATTTCTAAACAAAATTAACTTTTAAACAAATATTTTTAAATAACTTTATTTACGTTTTTTAATTGATGCATTTATTTTCAATCTTTATGTTCGCTAACTGTTACTAACTATAATTAAGTTTAAGAAATCGTGACCATTTTGGGTGAGAATATAATTAAATTTATTTATAAATATAAATAAATAGTTAAATACACTTGAATGATATGATGTGGAACTGCATCTGAGCTGAGAATGGAGCTGCCATCAGGATTTGTTGAGGAGATTGACTGCAACGAAATTTCATTTCAAGAAGTTCGTACTTTCTTTATTTTCTTGCAATAAATTAAACTGTATTAATTAATGAAACTCAAATAAAATGTTTGTTAAATAGATAAATAAGATAAAATAAATTTCATAAAATTATTTTTGATAAAAAAATACTAAATAAATTAGATCTAAAAATAGAAAACAACAGTGTTTTTAATAAATTTACTTTTTCAATTAAAAAATGTAAATGTTGATATTAGTTTACATAGTCAAAAAATATTATAACAGACAGCATGTTTATTATTGGATAGATACATAGACTATTACTATTTAAAATTTAACTATTAATTGGATTTGGTTATTAGAACTCTATTATTGCTATCTATTTATTAATCATTAGATTCTTTGCCTAATAATCTACTGTTAGTGTTAATATTCTTTTGCTAAATGGAAATCTACTGCTAGAATGCTAGAAAGGAGGAATTGTAATCAAATAAATTAATTTGCTAATTTTTTGTTTTATGCTTATTTCATTTTATTTATCTGTCGTAAATTTTTGCAACAATTCTGATTTCAGATAGTTGGCAGAGGGGCATATGGAGTGGTGAGCCGAGCAAGGTGGCGAAACATTGATGTGGCAGTCAAATTAATTAAAACAGAATCTGAAAGAAAGGCATTTGTGACAGAATTGAAACAACTTTCAAGAGTGAATCACATGAACATTGTCAAATTGTATGGTGCATCTACTAAACAACCTGTCAGTTTGTTATTATACGGCATAGACTCTTTACAAAAGATGCACATATTTTCATTCATTAAAATTTAATCCTATCAGGTGTTTCTTGTGATGGAATATGCTGAAGGTGGTTCACTTTACAATGGTAAGAATTCAGATTGGAGCTCAAATTATTTTGTTCACATATTGAAATCTGTTACTGTTGTTAAGTTGATATCATCAGTTATTTGAAATAACTTAACTTGTTAACACCAAGTTTTGCATGGAAATCCCATGAAGCCATCATACACTGCATCTCATGCAGTTAGTTGGTGTCTGCAGTGTGCTAAAGGTTCGTGCTAGTCAAACATTATTTCATGTCAAATTTGTTTTTCAATTCAAAATTGCTGACTGCTTCAGATGTAAGATTTGTTTTTATTAATTTTTTATGGTATTCTAAATTTTTCCATATGTGTGTTCATGTATGTACTGT